ACACCTCTTCCCCGGCTTCCTCTTGCTCCTGCCACATGGCTTCTTCCCCTTCCAGAAGACACCAGGAGCTGGGTTTCGTCCCTCTCTGGACTGCTTTGGTCCCTGATGTAACAACGTTCTTCCCCGAGCTCTCTCTAGCTCCTCGGTGCACATTCATTGGGTCCTCAGACGAGGCTTTCCGTCACTTTTCTATGTAAAACAGCTCCTAGTTGCTCACATCAGCCTCCTTCGTTTCCTTCTCTGAGCATCACCTCCCCGCTCCCCACCAGGTGGAAGCTCCCTGAAGGCAGGGCCGTGCTCCCCGCCGCGTCCCCAGCACCCGGCCCCGCACTCGGCGCGCACTAAGTGTTCAGTTAGTAACTGGCCCAGGAGGGGTGGGCGCCAGCCCCCAGCTTCCCAGCCCGGCGGTTCCCACTTCTTTCCCCGGCAGGCGCAGCCGGGAACGAGGACCCGGCCGCGGCTGCCCCCTCCCGGCCGAGCTCCGCCGGCGCCCGCTACCCGCTAGGGGGAGGCAGAGAGGCCACCGAGGCGCCTCGCGGCGACGCCTGGATGCAAGCCCCAGGCCGTCTTGCTGCAGTCGTGGAACCTGGGCTCCGACCGCCCAGCCATGTGTGCAGCGGGGGTCCCGCCTCGGGGCAACGGGGCACAGGCCCGGGCGGCGGGCGTCTCACTCCCGGAGAGGAGGCGGCCTTTCGGGGACCCGGCGCCTCCGCGGCCGTCGCCCCAGCGCACCCGCCCGTGGCGGGGCCGCCCGGAGATGCTCCCTGCATGGCTCTCCCCGCCCGCTCGGAGGCCGGGGAGATGCGGTTCTCTAGACGCCCTTCAGTAAGGTCTTGTCGTTACCGACTCCCCGGCCGCAGCCAGGCCCCGCCCGGAGGATGATTTCTTACGAAACAAACCTCTGGGAACTGCATGCAGGGCCGCCCTTTCTGGGCTTTGCGGATCTGGGTAACTCCCTTGGTCAATCCCTTAACTTGGCTTGCCTTGGCCTACCAATCTGTGAAACGGAGGCAAGACCTCCAGGCTTACATTCCACCGCAGGTTTGCTGAGGAGAAAAGGAACAGAAATGCTTTCATGACTCTGCAGTTGTGGTGGGGTAAAGCAGGGCTGGAGTTCCAGTCCTGGGCCCCCTAGTGCACCCCTTGGGCACATGCCACTCAGAGCAACCCCCAAGTTCCTCATTCTTATGGATCACATCTTGGTGGGTGGCAGGTCTGGCCTCTTCCTTTCAAGGGAGTCTGGGCAGTGCGGGGGGTGGTGGGGGAGAAGGGGCAGATGCTGACATCCTGACCCATGATCTGATCCTGGCTGTGTCAGTTCACACTCCAGCTTTTCCTCCAGAGTCAGGCTTCGGTAGTAAACCAGACCCCAGATGCCTTTGCTGTGGGCAGAGCGAGGAAGTTTGCTCTCTTGTAGTGGAGTGGGGGAGATTGGAAAACACCCATGACAATCACAGTGAGAGCCGCCTCAGCTCCAGTAGCCAGACTTCTTTAGGTGAAAGGTTCAAGAAGGATGAACTGACCAGTCTGTCCCCTCTAAGGGGGGTGTTGTGTCCCCTTAGTAAGTGGCCGAAGCTCTCAGCTGTCCCTGTCCTCTCCTCCTTGCCCTGGTATGAGCTGGGCTGCTTACTGCCCTTCCCAACTGAGCAGGGCTTTGCCCCTTCCTTCCTACGTGGGCTACTGAGCCTTCCTGCTCAGCTGACTGCTGGAGAGGAGTTTGGACACACTTTTGGGTCTGAGAATCTGAGAAAAGTGTCTCTCTTTGGCATCTGAGACTTCGAGGCCACACCCTGAGGCCTGTGCAGGCCGGTGGATTTGCTGGGTCTACTTTGTACATCACTCACAAACCCTCCACTTCCTCTCCTCTCCCCATGGAGTAGGTGAAAGGAAAAAAGCCTCTGCCCTAGAATACCCTTCTTGCCTGGTTTCATGAATGGGCAAGATGCTTACGAATAGGCTCTGGGCAGCAGGATAAACCCACACTTAAACCTTGAGAGGTTGTGTACTTTTTAAAAATTCCCTCCCTCCCTTGCATTTTTTCCTTCTACTAGCTTCCAAGATTGGCTTTTAAATCAGAGATTCCCAAATACCAGTCAGGCTACATGTGAATCAATGACGAACTTAAAAATACTAATACTGCAGGCCCACCCGTTGAGTCACACAATCCTTTACAGTCGCTGACTTGGTCAGAAGGGACCCAGATTTACAGTATCCTGAAGAAGAGCTAAACTGAAAGAGCCGTGAAGGGTTCTGCTTTATAAAGGGGAAAAAAAGAAAAAACAAACAAAAACTAGGACCATACTAAAAAAAACATCCCTGCTGGAGCCCTTCTCCCTCCCAACCCGTCTGACTACTGCAGGAGCTTTGGGCTGTCTTTTTGGATACCTACCTTTACATCTCTGATGAATTAATATGCTTTCCCGGTTGTTGCTTTAATCTGAGACATTCTATATAATACCTTCCTGCTATGGCAGATGAGGATTTAGCTCCCTGACATCACCCCACCTCCCCTGCCTCAGCCTCTTATGTTTACTTTCTTTATTGGTTAACTTTGTAATTTTAAGTAAATATTTCACCTCTATTTCTTGTTCCATCAACTACAGAGCACAATAATCGCAAACACCTAATCATGCTGACTGTGTGCACCATTCTAAGCACTTTACACATATCTACTCATTTAAACCACACAAGAACATCAAGACATAGGTTACTATTATTGGTCCATTTTAGGGAGAAGGAAACGAAGGCCATTTTACTATTTTTCTAGTGGTTCTCCAGGAGGGAGAGGAGATAAAGGCGGGTGGCCAGTCTGCCATCTTTACACTGAGTTCTAACAGGGCAAGGATTGGGAAGCATTCATTTTGGCCTTTGCTCTAGTTCCCTGCTGGGCAATTAAGTATGACAGTGACAAAGTAGCGAGGTCTGTCAGTCATCTCGGCCAGCACGGAGCAGTTAGCTCAGCTGTGGGACAGGGATTCCCAAATGCCGTAAACCAGCTAAATCGGAATCAACTGAGGAGTTTGTTAAAATAACTCACCTACTAAAACAAGATCTTTGGAATTTGGGCCGAGGAATCTGTATTTTTAACAAGCACAACTCATGCCTTGGAAACCAGTGGTCACGGGGAGCCTGGCAGCTGGCCTTGTTCTATTCCATACTCCACTTTCTTCCTCTGAGTCTGCACTGTGCCAAGTGGGTATCCTTGACTGTGGCACTCACTAGAGACCACCTGGCTTTGGCAGTAGACCTCCCATCACGATAAATCAATGATCTTCATTAATACCAAGATCAAGGTGAAGAGCTAACTCAAGTCCAATCCTAGTGCCACTGCTCACCTGTGACGCTCACCATTATGCTCTGGGCCTTTGGTCATAATCACAGAATGTTAGATCTGACAGGGATCTTGAAAATTATCTAGCCAACCTCCTCATTTGACAGATAAGTAAACCCAAAAGGCCCAAAGAAAAGTGAATTGCATATAGAACTATTAGGAATTGAGGCAAGAGCCCAGCCCTGGTCTCCCAACTCTCCAGGTCATCTCTTTCTAGGACTGCACTGTCTAATAGATAGTCACTAGCCACCTGTGGCTATTTGTATTTAAATAAATTAAATCAAATTAAAAATTTAGTTTCTTCAGTCACATTAACCACATTTGAAGTGCTCAATCGCCAGTGGCCAGTGGCTACCACATATTAGACAATGCAAATATAGCACATTTCCATCATTGCAGAAAACTATTGGTCTAGTGCTGGTCTGGAACCTGGGTCTTTCATTTGAAAGTAGTATGGAAACTGGATGGTTTTATCATTGTCCTCTCCCCTCAAGCAATTACTGCAGAAGATTAACTGTAAGAAAATATGGTTATACTGTTGAGTGATCATAGCTTAGCAATAGCACTTTGACAAACTGGAATTTTATATATGTAACTGGAAGAACCAAACCACCCAAACCAACTAAGCCCCTGAAACCTCTCCCCCTAAGCTTGGACGGGCTTACCTCAGAACCGAATCAGATACAAAGAAGAGTTCAGTGCAAAGCTCTGCCTGGTCTAAAGTCTGAAAGGTATGGGATCCACTTCTTACTCCTGGTAGGTCTGAGGGGAGTGTTCTTCAGAAGTGGTAGGAGAAATAAACCAAAGGAAACAAGACTGCTCTGCAAATAAATGTAAAGTATTAACTGTAAGATGGGATGGGAAGCCTTATAAATTAATTAAGGGGTAGGAATTGTATCTTTTTTCTCCTTGTAGATTTATTTTATAATATCTTAAGATTATTTGTTCTGGGAAGGTGTATTTGTCAATGGAAAGACTGAAAGACAAGCGGCATGTACACAGTTCTGGACGGGAGACCTTAAACGTGACAGATGTGGAGTGTCCATGCCTCCTCTGGACTTGAGACTTTGGGAGAAGCATTGCTGGGAGAAGGGATCCTATTAGAGGGTGAAGTGACACAAAGCAGACGTTTTCGAGAGGGAAGCATCTGGAAGACCAAGGCCAGAACTGAGGACTGTGGTTTTATCCCCAAGGGACGCCTGTGAACAGCTCGCCTCCTGCTGGGGCTTTTCCCTTGAATCATAAAGACAGTCGTGACTCTGTATGTAAAATGTATTCACGTTTTCCCTGTGAATTCCCTGTAGCTCTTCCAGCCTTTCGGAAAAGCCTTGATCCATCCATCTAAACTTGTCTAGCGGTGGTTTGGGGAATGTATGGATGAGGCAGTAAAAGGGAGAGTGACCTGCCCCAGTCACTCCCTCGCTGATGTCCTGGAGGGAGCAGCGTTCTTTTGAGGAGACTATAGTGTGTCCAGGAGTTCCAGATGGTGAGCAGAGAGGAGCCCACAGCGAGTAGGGTGGAAGGTGGATGTCCCACAGATATTTGAGAGCAAACTGGAGCCTGGTGGGGTGGTGGAGAGGTGGGTGGCGGCGGTCGGACTGATGCTTAGGTCATACAGGTGAGCTCACATACACACGGGTACCGTCAGACAATCAAGGTGGCCTTGACCCAAATAGATCTGGATAAGATTTATTGATCAGATTGTTTTAGAAAACCAACAGCAAAACACTGACAAGGTACATAAATACAGATTGGACATTTTAGGGTAAATTCACTATACTTCCTACTTGCTGGTAGGAAACCAGGTAAGGTGGAAAAGCTGTCCTGATCATATGGCATGCACACCAGACTGCAAAAGGACTTCCACACTATTTAACAGGACTGTGGCAAATAGCTTTAAAGTAAGGCAAGCATCATGTGTGGCCTAAGCACACCCTGTACGAAGAGCCCAAGCCCAGGCTCACCCTCAAAGACTGTGCGTGACCGAGGTTTCCTTTCTTGTCTAGGTTCTTCCGGTAAAATCCTCGCTGGCAGGTGCCTTTACAGGGAGATGCCTGGTGCTGTCCCTGCTCAGACTCTGTACAAGGAAGTGGCTTTAGAGAAAGCAGATGTGTTTCTGATGCCTCCTTTGTATTCTAAATGTGCAACTAGTAAAACAGCAATTACTACAGCTTGGTGAAACTGCCTTGGACTCACCCTGTACACTGACTGAGCAGGGCCTTTAAAAAACCTCTAAAAAGTGGAAAAAAAAACCCCACAAAAATTATACTAAAAAGTGGTATCACTTTTGAAGCACAACTCAGAACTTCTTTTTGTAACACCAGATGAGGGAAGAGGTCACTTTTCACCGAATCTAACCACCTTAGAAGGGAAACACCATTGCCGGACATGATCTGGTGGCGGTGCACGTGGAGGTCACAGAACTCTACCAAGTCTATCTCAGGCCCTGCCATTGCACCTAGAGTCCCGAGGTATTTGGGGAACCAAAGCAATTTAAGCTAATGGTGACCAATTTTTGGAGCTTATGATCATGGGACCATAAACCCTCATCCATCGTGGAGCTTAGAACAATGAAGAATAAGGAAAATGGCTTTTTGTGCTGCATCAGAGTGCTGGCAGGTAGACAATTCAGAAACTGGTGCCACTTTCTAAACATCGGTAAGACCATATGAAAACAAACTGTAAGACCAACATAGTCTTACAGGATAATTCAACCTTTCCTACATGCCAAGCTATATGGCTGGAAAAGGTACTTCCAAAGGAAAAAGTAAGGCTCCTGCAAGAATAGGCAAAAAGCAAGTATTTGTCAAGAGCCAAAGAAATGCGTTCAAATGATGGGACTTCCTCTGCATCATACGCAGCTTTTTGCTCCCATAGGTGCTAAGAGCTCTTTGGTGGTTATAGGAGAGAGAGTCTAGAACTCAGGGCAGGAGACTAGGCCAAGCAGAGGAGTGAAGAGTAACATCTACACTCAGGATTACCACCCGTGGGTCCTAATTTCAGCCTTCAACAATTGTCATCAAATCGACCAATTACAGCTCATCAGGCTGCTTATACGCTTGCTGGTTTCTAGCCCCTCCGTGATTCTTCCTTTCCCATTTCTAACTACTCATTAGTCCCACTCCATTGAAAATGAGGTGCTTGTGGGAAAGGGGTAGGGAGGAAGAAGAAATAGAAATCAATCATTTGATAGAAAAGTTGAAACACTGATTATCTATGGATTTCAATGATCTGTGCTTTACTCTTGCTACGCCTGGTAACCAAAGGTCACTGTTAATATACCTTTTGCTTAGAAATGCTAACGTTTATTATATTTTTAAATCTAGCTATGTAAGGGACATGAATATTTTAGAGCAAATTTCTACATCACGTCATTAGGGCCCTGAAAAAAGATTCTGCCAGTGGAAAGGGTTTCAGTTTGGCCACTGAAGAATAATTAAAATTTCAATCTATTCTATATTGGCTTATAGATTTTTCCAGGAAGTGGAAAATACTTTATTAAATGAAGAAAGCATCATTTTCTTCATTTAATAAAGTATTACATTCACAGATAAATTAGTATATACATAAGAGAAGTGACAGTATTAAATATTAGGTTTTAATTCTCCATTTAGGAAACTCCTTACAGGTAGACTTCCTTGTTCCTGGGCAAGGAAATGTAGGAAGATATGCAAACATGAGATAGTACAAAGATGCCTGGGGGAAGGTCTCCATCCAACAAACCCAAGGAACGAAAGTCTCTAAGAATCCGAGTAAGAAAATATGGACTTGAAAATCCAGCTTTACCAAGAGTTGGCTTAAGCCAGCCGATAACATCTCAAGTTCTTGGTATAATTTAACTCAATTAATGAGCTGGCTTCCCCAAGAGAAATTTAAAAAGTAGTCTACCTGCTTTATAGTCACATCGTATATATAATCTGTATATATTCATATGTGTTTCTACATATTGCACTTAAATTTACAGGACTGCAGTAAAATGGCTGGGAGTACCTCAAAGAGGCAGAGAAGCAGCAGGCATAAACCTTCCTAAATCAAGTAACAGTGTCACGAATTCAGAGTGCTGGGTACAGGTACGAAAAGGCCTGGGGACCCTTATATAAAAATCTAGTCATCTACATTTAGTCATACACCCAGTCTCGTTTGGCATCCAGATCATGTGCATATGTGTGGTTCTACAGCACTCAGAGCTGGTTATACTAGATCATTTTCACTAGTGTTATATTAAAAGAAGACATTTTAGACCAAGGATATGTACTTTTATGAAAACATCACACATAAGGTCTTGGATGTGAGGCCTCCAAAGTCCATCTCAAAGAAGATTGCTCTCAGAAGGCTTAAAAAAGGATGCTGGCAAGTGTGGATTGAACCAGACTCTCTTTCTAGCTCTCTGGTATAGCAGAGCTAGAGACCTGCTTATATCCCAAGGACCATGGGCGGATAAGTACAGAGGCTGAGTGTTCAGTCTTTGGTCCCTATATAAATCCATCACAAAAATCCTTCACCTTCCTAGACAGCATGACTTGTTTAATTCTGGATATTAAATCCCCCAAATATCCATAGACCAGGCTAGAGTCATGCAGCAAAGCTTTGAACTAATGGGGCTGCTCAGACTGACTTGCTCTGGAGAAAGCTTGTTATTGGAACAAGCCTAGCAGTGGGTGGTAAGAGGTTAAATATCAAACAGACTGGTCACAGCAAGATGGGGGTGGGAACTCCCAGAAGTTGCTCCTTTTGCTGCTTCTCCCTCACACCCCTCATTCCCCAAAAGGACCCAAACTCACAGGTAAGTGGTTATTATAAGACCCTGTAGAACACAGGCTCCATGAACTCAACCCAACATGGATGGGATGTTATAATAAGGCCTGGAAGTTACGAGTCCAAGTCTAGAGGCCACTGTTTTGTTTTCCCCAGAACTGAACACTGAATGGCACCTTTTTAGCCATAACTCAAAGGTGATTTTAAATCCACACATGAGCTAAAGAGATTCCCTTCTGGGATGAAGGAAAAAGAAGAATAACTTCAAAAGCTAAGTGAAAAAGAGGCACTTAAAGGAAAAGTGTGTCCCAAATCTCCCGTCTGAGTCTCTTGTTGTGAGGTAACCAACGGGATGATGGGCACTGTGCCCTCTCATGTACCTGCAGCACCTTTCATACACCTAAGGACTTCCAAATGCTCACGTCTCAGCGACTCGCTCAACTACTCCAGCAGCCTGATGGCAAAGCAAGTGAAAATTTAGGTCATTTCTTTTTTAGAATTAAAAAACAACACAAGACAAACCAGAACTAAAATTCCACGCCAAAAATGGAATGATCTTCACTTTCATTCCTTCCTCATGCTGGCTTTAAAATGATATAGTTCTTCAGGAAGGATGGCCTGTGGCTTTTCCCTCAAGATCTTTCATACAGTTACTAGACAATTATTCACAGCACCACGCACATTAAAGCAGACAGAAAAGGAGGCAGTAAGCCAAGGAAAAATCAAGGGCCAACTGGCTTTCCAGAGATAAAACCTACTGCCTGGGAAAATGGCAGCTGCATGGCCCAGAGTTAGAAAAGAAACAAGTTCTGAAAGGAAGTGGCCAATCTGACAGGCAAAGCTCACAGCCCAGAGCAGAAGCCCTCCCTGCCCTGCCCTTCTCTGGCCTCTCACGAGCTTACGTTGATGTCCCATGGCATTTATGCCACATATTTAGGGTCTCCAATTCCCCATGAAGAAATCAAAGAGATACTTGAAACCATTAATAAGTATAGGAGAATTTCAAAACTGCCCAGAACAAAGAACTCTGACCACCGTGTTTCTTGATTTGAAATGTTCTTGGTGCCGTAATTTCTAAGAGCAACAATAAACAGCACAACTATAACACACACATAAGTCTTTGACAAGCCAACTCTAACCACTGCTGGCACCATAAGGAGGAGAAAAGAAATCACTAATCAAGAGCTGCTGAGCTGCTTACCTTTCCTCCAAAGTCAAAGGACAGGTGTGGGTATCTATGCAGCAAGATGTCAATCACTGCTGCCATTAGATCTAGCTACTCCTTTAGATATATCTTTGAAAGCAGGAAGTTAAATATCTAGCTTTACATACAACCTGCAAGATTCTCAAGGTTAGCCTTCTTGTTCTATCCCCAAAACTTCTTGTTGTTGTTGCTGGATTTAAAATTTTTTAATTTTATTTTTGTTTTTATTGATGATGTTGCTTTAATTTGTAGAGCATTGGATGACATGGTCATATATTTAGGGTTCCTTTAAAAAATTCTTTATCTTGATTCATAACATTATTAAGGTACTTTCAGACTTTCCCTCAACTTCATCAAGGAAGAGGGAGTATGTGAGTGTTAGTGTGAGTGTGTGTGTGTGTGTGTGTGTGTGTGTGTGTATTAGGGAAGGAGGGAGAGAAGCAAAGAAAGTAGCATAAGGGAACGTGAGATTCCATAAACTTAAAATGAATTTACAGAAAGGCATCTGATGTATTTTCTGAATAAGGCCTTGATCAGGGTAACCAATCCTCTTTGTAGCACATTCTACACTGCCCATAAATAAAGGAGTCTCTTTAAATTAACATTTCCAGTATCAATGAACAGTCCTGAAATCTTCATTTCAAGCGCTCGATGAGTCCCTGTGTGAGTCCAAGATGCAGAAGCTGTGTTCGGGAGAGGTTTGCTAGGTTAGGGAAGGCCGCAAGCAGCTTCTCCCATGCCAGTTCCAGCAGGCTAGGTACCACCAACCAGATCTTAAACAATGACCCAGTCCGTTTGTTTTCGTGGATGTTCACTACTCCTCCATGAATGTACATGCAACCAGCCTACGAACAAATGGCAGTCAAAAGAGGATAAATTCAAATGGGAGAGAAACAGATACTTAGGCTGAAGATTCAGCAAAAAAATTCATAGTAGGCTGAATTAAGATGAGGTGAAACAAAAAATTTCCACACTGATCCCAACAAAGTTCAGTGATCAAAAAGGGTTTAAATAATGAATGAGTTACTAAGGAAAAAACTATAGATTTTTCTACTTCAACAACTTCAACAAATATTAAACTAAGACTACATTAAGTATCTGTTGTGCCAAATACTGGGAATACAAAGATAAAAGTAAAGGTCTCCATATTCAAGATCCTAGTAGGATCTTCAGCAACATGGCCTCTTGCAGGTAAAACTATTCTGCCCTTCCTGGAAACACCTTTGCTATCACTGTCAGGGCCTGGATGCCATGCATAGCATTTCACATTTATGCTGCTCTTTTAAACTTGTATATGATGTTTTTTCTCCTCTTTTCACAGAGGAAGAACTAGGTTTGGAAGAAAGTTTTAAAAACACATTCCTAATCTCAGGTTTGCTAATGTCAGAATCTTTTTTTTCTTGCTAATATCCCTAAAAATATTTCCTTATCATCTGCAATTATGTAAAGAAGATATGAAAATGAAAACTTACTGGTGTAACAGCTGCACAGTGAAAATAAACTGGCTCTGGCATGGTAGCTGGGAGCTTTACCCATTGAAAAGTCTGCAGATTCAACTTCCAGATATCTCCCAGGATCACTTCTCCATTATAGCCCCCACAAATAAACACATCTATCAAAAAAAAGGGAGAGCCAAGATCACACAAAGGAAAAGAACCACGGCTATAGCACGTCTTGCAGTAGATCACACGGCTAGCTGACACAGGACCACTTCAGTGGATTTCCCCACACCATAGAGGACTTCAGCTGGGTGGTCCTCACCTGCTGTTGTCTTGTCCCTCAATAGTTTGGACATTATGTGAGAGTCTTTGCTGGACTAAGGATTTAAGCCTCTCAGGAGGCTTCATGTCCCAGTTCTCAAATTCAAATACCTACAGGTACCAGGTATGGAAAGTGAATGAGCAAGGAGGTCTGAGGAAAAGAAACAAATAGGAGGTCCAGGAAACAAACAGCTCTAACGGGAGAGATGGTGATACAGCTCCAGGTGATCGATACCATGCCAGGCTTAAGGGCAGCAATTGCCAGATCTTCCAGTTTTTCAAGAGAAGCTGGAAATCTGGATTTTTTTAAAAAAATGAAACATTTTGATTTTTAAGTATCAGCTGCTAATTCAAAAAATTTAAATACACATATGAGGCAAACAAAACACATTTACAAGCCACCAGTTTGCAAACTCTCCTTTTAAATGACATCCTAAAAAGGACAGAGATTTATCTATGTAGACACTGAACCTGAGGAGAAACACTGAGTGCGATGTTCAGTTTAGGGGCACAAAGAGGCTCCTCCAAGCTTTCTTCAGCCCCAAGAAGACAGTTTGAAGCCCCATTTGATCTGTACAAGTATTTATGTCAGGAACAAAACCTTCCCAATATCAAAGTTTTTTGTTGTTTTGTTTTTGTAAAATCAGTTAGTTATAACTAATTGGACAACTTGTAACAAAGGCCATGTGAACCTTCAAACTAAATGCCCAAAACTAAGGCTGAATTCCATTTGTATGGTGGCTGGCCTCAAAGAATCAAATGAATAGATGTCTTAATTCAGGACTAGATTAAGTTTAAGACAATACTTGATTAAACTATTAAAAAAATGGAAAGTTTTTTGGCTAGGATTCAAGAAAAGTACAGCTCCATTCTTAGAGAGGCAAAGCTGAACAATGCCACTATCTGTAAATCTTATCCAAAAAGCAGAAGCATAATAAAAAGCACCTCTGTACTACAGATGGCAGCATAATCCTAGTAAAACCCAAGCTAAGCTGTTGAAAGGATACAAGATATCAAACACATTTATACACATCTTCCTCCCAGAAAAAATTTAAGGTGGTGTATCAAACTATAAAATAAGCTGTAAATTAAAAGACAAGAAGGTTATCCCAGAAAGGAGTCACTTGTCACACTTAGATAAAGTAGCCGCAGCTGCTTTCTGAAGCCATACAATGCCTCTATTGTAATACAGCCAAAGAATGAGCTAAGAGTTCTATTTGGCATCAGACGGAGAACAGAATAAACTTTATAAAATAACACTCTGAAGGAGTCATTACAATTTTAATCCACCAAGGTCTCTCTCTCTTTTTTCCCCTCCAAGGGCAGTCTTTTTTTTTTTTTTAAAGATTGGCCCTGAGCTAACATCTGTTGCCAATCTTCCTCTTTTTTTTCTTTTTTCTCTCCAAAGCCCCAGCACATAGTTGTATATCCTAGTTCCAAGTCATTCTAGTTCTTCTATGTGGGATGCCGCCACAGCTTGGCCTGACGAGTGATGTGTAGGTCTGTGCCCAGGATCCAAACTGACAAACCCTGGGCTGCCAAAGCAGAGCGCACAAACTTAACCACTCAGTCATGGGGCTGGCCCCCCACCAAGGTCTCTTGAATGCAAGATTATTAGTATTACCCACCGTAACCGTAGACATCAGGTGGTATAATAAAAGCTTATTTATCACTGATTTTCCAGTTCTCTGATAACTAAGGGAACCCAAACACTATATTAGTTTACTTTATGAAAATTGTTAAGAGAGACATAACTTTACGGATTGCCCTTTAAGTTTAAACTACAAGAAATAGACTCTTCCCAAAGGTACACCTCTTTTAAGGAGCTATCATTAAAAAATAAGACATTCTTGGCATTTACAATTACAAAAATGGAAACAATGTTATTTAGAATCCTTACCATTTTTTATTTGAACACAACTGTGACATCTTCGGGCTGCAGGAAAACCTGCCAAACACATAAACACAGAAATTCCATTATTCATAGAAAGATTGAGAATAATGTTGCTATGACATAGTGAAAGACATACTATGAGCAACTCACTTAAAACAATCCCTTTGTTGCATTAAGCAAATACTGACTAGTCCTTCCAATCCTTCCTTATTTCACGCTAAAATGAAGCCATCAGAAGTCTCATCATAACAGTAAAATGTTAAGGGGCCAGGGAAATCAAGTGGTGTGGCAGGGGGCAGGGGTTACAAGTGGCTTTCCTAAGCCCCTGTACCCACAAAGAGACAGGTAGATCTTGATTTAAGTGCCTATTTCTTATCCTACCCATATTTCCCTACTTCCACAGAATTCAACAATCCTCATTAAAAGTCTCTGCTCAATTGCTGAGGAAGAACAATAATTGACCTAAGGAGTATAAGTAATTTCTAATACCAGTTCAACAGATATTTTACTTGTCATATAACTCAATAAAATTACTTTTTACCTTCCAAAACAAGTAAAAGTATAAAATACATTTATTAAAGATAAATAAATCAATATTTTAAATTTACCTATTTTTTCATGGGGTTTTGTTGCAATTTCCTCCCATGCATTCGTTTCAAGGTTGTATGCATGGATCTTGGAGAGAGAAAAAAAGAAGATACACACAAAAATAATTTTAGCTAACCTGAAAACTGACTTTTAACAACAGCCTGTATAAACACATATTCTTGGTTGAAAAATCTTCTTTTCCTTTGCTTTTCTCTGAACTTTCCTAATTCTAACATAAGGCAAAACAGTAAATGAAGCAGTTGCAATTAAGCACATATATGATTTCAATTATTAAAAATCACAGGAAAAAATGAAATAAAAAAGTTGGAATTCTGCAACTTCCACATTTTATACAATGAACATGTATCATTTTTATAACAGAAGAAAGCAAGTCTTGGTAAGAAAACATTGGAATGAAGCTTTGACAAAACCTGAAAAAGACCAATAAGGTTCCAAAGCAGACTAGGAGCCCTGTAGCCTAATCTAGATTTCACCTGGGATGTGTGGATTTAGAAACGCCACAGAGATGGATGAATAAAAGCCCTTCAGAGCTCAACTTTCTAAAGTTAGTGACATGTAGCCCTAAACGTGCCTGTTCTTTTTAGATATACAGCATTGATGAGGAGAGGGAAGTGACATTCTGAGAATCCTGGTTCCAATTCTAATTAGTCGCTCCATCCAAGCTACTATATCTTCCTTTTAGTCACTTTCCTCTTCCAGCTTATGCTGGGGATATGAAGTATTTTCAGTGTGTGATAAATGCAGCTGTCAACTAGAAAGCATATCAGGGGCAGAGTTTGGCCTTATACGATAAAGAGCATCTAACACAAAATAGGTGTTGATGAAGAACCTGCTCAAAAATTAAAATATCTACAGTAACAGAATTATTTTGCTTAGTATGACACATGCCTCTCTATATCCTTCTCCTTTTTCTTTTTTTTCCCCCTAAATATACCTTGTTTAAGGAATAAGCTGTCCAGGAAGTACCACCTCCCAAGATGTAAATCCTCTGCCCATCATGTGCAATTTCATGTCTGTATCTGAAAATATACAATGAAATCCGTTTACAATGAAGTGAAAAATGATCTACTTAAAATTTAGTCACAAAGCTTTTTATTACATCATTTTTTATAATAACATATTATTAGAAATAACCTGCATTCAAAAAAAGTGAATTGGTTAAATAAATTTTAGAATATACATAAAATAGATTAGTATGCAACCAATAAGAATGTAGCCATAGAGGATAGTTAACATATTGAGAACTTCTTTTCATGTCATTAACTGGAAAAAAAAAACAGTTATCTAAGAGCAGACAGGCTATAATCCCATTAAAAATTTATAGATACACAAATATGCAAAGAAAATGACTGTAAGGATACATCTAAAATGTTGACCCTGCTTATCTCTGCGTTTAAATTTTGTTTTTTATTTTCTTCATTTTGCTTATTTGTATTTCTTAGATTTCTATAATCTTTTTATGATAACTTTGTATAAGGGAGGAAATTATTACAGAGTTTTAAAAAGTGATCTGCCTACATTTAATTAGAAACTCTAGACTGTGGACTTTCAAATTAAGATACTTATTTAACAGTTACAAAGATATCAAAAAGATTATGCTACATAGAACTGTGAATATAATGTGAAACACCTACCAGAACTTTTATCCAAGCAGTCTAGCTAGAAGCTGAAACAATTTATATGTCCATAAAATGATTCAAAGAAGGCAACCATGTGAAAATGCTTTGAAAACTTAATCTATTTCCTCCCTTCCCTGAAGGCCCTGGTGCTGATAAAATAAATTACATCAAAACTTTTCCAGTAACAGTCCATCTTCCAAGTCCTCTCATGGTAGTTCTGCTATAATCAGCCTCCTAACGCATTACAATGAAGATAAATTCTTCCTTAGCACCTTTATGCCATTTTGTTTAAGGGCAACAAAGAGATATTAGATCAGCCTAAAGAGAGTGAATAAAAAACTGTTTACTGTCTTTGCTTTTAAACTGGAGGGGGGAAAAAACTCTCTTTAAGTTTTTCAGTGAATTTAATTCTAAGAAGAGACACCTGCTATCAGAAAAGTGAAAGATCTAGAATTGCTCCTAGAAGGCAACTAGAGAGAATCATGTGATCTTTGAGTGTCTGACAGAGCAGTTAAAATGAATGACCCTTCCTCCCTTCCTCCTTCCCTCCCTTCCTTTCGTCCATGATCTACCCATCATCCATCCATCCAATCAACCTTCAATGAGTACCACTATGGGAATGGCACTGTGCCCTGTTCGCCCTGTTCTGGGTATAGAGCTGTGAGCAAATGAGCCAGTGAATTCTAATATGCAAGTTAAGAAGGGAAATCAAACAGCAACTAGGAAGTAATTGTTTTGTCAGGAATATATTTAGTTGCAATTGCTACCATTGGTGTCTTCTTCAAAGTGTTACTGTCATCCTAATGCAGAAAAACTGAAGAGGAAATAACAGGAAAAAACTTCTATAGTCCAGGAGAAAATAAAGAAGACCCTTCTTTAACGCTAACTGGGATCTAACAGCCAGGCTAACGGATTTTCTTCAAACCATATTACCAATATTCTGAAAAAAGTCAAATCTTAGCAAGAAAGAATAAATATGCTTGGATCCTATAACCTCACCTCTCTTCTGGCAGATCACAAGATAGGTTGTTTGGTTTCAGTTGTGTCCACTCTCTGGTATTGAGATCTAATTTGTGCAGATCTGTGCTGTAAATATAGCCAGTTGTCCCTCCAAAGACATAAAGGGAGCCATTGATGATCGCCATGGCCTGGATAATAAGAAAAGGTGAACAAGATTGACTCATTAACACTTGATTAAAGAATGTAAACTTATTACATATCCCAAAATCAGGTTTTACAAAATTCTCTTGTACTTTTTAACCTTCTAAAATATCAGACCCTTAACGGATTAAAGATTTTAGAGAACCCAGAGATTATTTTTAAAGGTAAAGCTTTGTTCAACTGGAAAGAAGGTTCTACCTAGATAGGCAAGGGGATTAGATGATCCTTAAGGGTCCTAGCGAACCAAAGAATTTACACATCATGGACATGAGCACTTTCATGGAAAGCTGCTTCTCTTTCTAAGCAGTCGGAACAAAAATGTTCTCAGGAAGAAGAAGCAGATATGAAGAGAAATCACCAGAATCCCTTAGTAAAAAGTCTAGAGTTGGCAGTCCTAAAAACTTGACATTTTCCACCAGATTCTCCTTTAATGTAAGTTCAGTTTTTGTGATGGTCATCTCTTAGAGTTTAAATGCCTCCTGTGATGGGACACAGAGTTCTCCAGTATGCGCCTCTACACATAATTCAGAAGCTACTTATCAGTACTCATGCCAGCCATGTGAGAAAGAAGCCAAAGCTTGGTTGTTTTAAGCTTAGCCCATTACTCTCAAAGGGTCTCTGAGATATGGTGAGTTGCTCCCTATCTTTCTGGATATAACTTTTCAAACCTAAGGTTTGAAACACTTTAGAACTAATCTCTACAACATCTGAGTTTAGCTCAGATCCATCTGTATAAAAGTCTCTTACCAAGTGAGGGATCATCTACTCTACTACTTAGGTCAGAAAACTCGTCAAAGAATTATATCACTCTAAAGATGACAGGATACAGACCATTTGTAGCCCAATCTCTCATTGGGTGGGAGTGGAGGCGGGGTGGGGTCCTGACATTTAAAGAAACTTCCATACAGGTCTAGATCATGATCCTAAATTATACTAGAAACAAAGAGTGAGGGAATAAAAAGAAAGGAGAAGGCAAGCAACCAGATTTGCAAATTATAATTTCATATCAGAACTGAAAAATCAAATATTAACCACAGTGAATATATTCTTCATTAAAAAAATTGGTAGTGATGTAAATATTCTGACATTGTCCCCAGAACTAGAAAAATCTGAACAAATACAATCACCATGACCGGCCACAGATTGGTACCTGTCCATATATACGACTGGGTTTCTTTCCCCGACAGCTGAGTAAAGCCCATCTCTTATACTTCACGTTACAGACATGGACATCATTGCCGTTGCTTTCACCAAATGGGATGCCCGTACCTCCAAACACTAACAAGTTGTTTCCATGCAGCACAACTGGGGAAAGAGATGCACAAATTCCATTTATGTACTGGCTACCTGCAATGTGTTCCCACATAAACTCAGAATAACTGAGAAACTAAAAAAAATCTGCTTTAATGCTCTCAGAAGATAGCTCAGACCATTGACATCTAACTACTTCAAAGTTCTGCAGAAAAATGTCTAATTCACACCATATGGACTATATCATATAGCTCATTGTTAGGTATGTGACATGTATTCAATAGATATTTGCAGAACTCATGAAATAGTGCGTATGAGAATACTGAATGATATGAACTACAGTACACCACTGCCACTCAAGACAGTTAAAGTATGTAGCATAGCAGAAGAAAATGAAGTATCATCTTTGCCTTAGCAAAGACCCAGTGGAACTCAGGATGAAGGGATAAAAGGATCATTCTGGTTTTGCCAGGGGAATGATCTCTACATTTTATTTTATTTTATTTTTTTGAGGAAGATTAGCCCTGAGCTAACATCTGCTGCCGTTCCTCCTCTTTTTGCTGAGGAAGACTGGCCCGAGCTAACATCCGTGCCCACCTTCCTCTATTTTATATGTGGGACGCCTACCACAGCATGGCTTGCCAAGCTGTGCCATGTCCGTACCTGGGATCCGAACCAGCAAACCCCAGGCCGCTGAATCGGAACGTGTGAACTTAACCGCTGTGCCACTAGGCCAGCCCCTGATCTCTACATTTTAAATTATGGCTTCTGTCATCTTAATCCTCCACCAGATAAAAAGTAACACCAATATCCTGCTGGTAATTTTGGTGTTCTTCTATCTCTTCTGTTCCTGCCATGACACACACACAAACACACACGCACACACACAGGCTCGCACAGACTTTCTTGCTCTTTCTAATGGCAAATACTCTCAAAAAGTGCTACTGTATTATTTCAATGGCATTTTTAACCAGTTCTTCAACTGATACAGTGTAAGAGTCAACAGCATGGGTGCTGGAGCCAGCGAGAGCTGGGTTTAAATTCTCATGTGACCTCAGGAAAGTTATTTAATCTCTCTAAATTAATCTTCACAACAACCCTATGAGGCATTATCTGATTATTATTATATTATTATTATATATCATATTATCATTACTATTATTATCTTCTCCATTTGTATAGATAATGAAACAGAAGCGGAGAGTGGTTTAAATAACTTGTTGAGGGTTTCCTAAAAAGAACACTGCCAAGCTAGGATTCAACCCTAGGCAGTCTGGCTCCAGAGCCTGCGCTCTCAGCCATTATCCTGAGGGCCGCTCTAATGCCTCCATTTCCTCATTTGTACAATGGCAATAATGCCAGTACCTGCATCACAGGGATCTTGTAAGGTAAACAGATACCATGTGTAAAGTACTTTGCTCAATAGCTATTATCATCATTATAAACCCCATTTGTTGCTCTTCTACTACATTTTGCCTAGCATATATATGACACTTTATATTGACCCCTCTGAGATTCCCATCTTACAGGTAAGGAAATTGAGGCTAAAAATCATCTGGCAAATAAATGGTAAATAGCTAGATTCAAATTCAGGACTATCCAGCTCCCAAGTGATTCTGCATCACCATGCTATATTATTACCAGAGTAAAAAGTCTATCTATTAACAGGGTTTAATCATATTACAATATTATTATAAATTATTAACAAGGAACATGACCTCTCAGACATTTTGTAAAGTCAAAAGTTCAGAACTGCTTGCACTCACGTGACATAGATGCCAATTCCCGGGGCATGTAGCCATCTGTGCCCATCTGGTGCCATACTCCTGTAGCAAAATGATACCTCCAAAGCTCCCTGAAGAGAGGATAGTCTTCATTATCTGGCCCTCCAGATTCATCATAATCTGGGTTATAACCTCCAAACACATATAGATTGGTATTATCTGCCACACAACGATGTCCACTTCGTGCTGGTGGAGGTCTGTGGCCTAGGAGAGAAGAGGACAGTTTTCCACAGATGGCCCAGCAGATTAAAAGCACAAACAAAATTTGGTAACAATCATTTTAGCTTTAAAAGGGGATCAGGGAAGATTTATAACAGGGATGTATTTTTTATTTGCTTAGGTTATCTTATACATTCACACACACTACTTAAGATTTTAAGGAGCTAGTCTCCATTTCTATTTCCTATGATTACTTTCAGATTTTGATAACTGTAAAAAAGATTTTTTCCAAGGGAGGGAAAACAGCACTATAAACTCAAGAAAATGGCTTGAAATTTTCAAGAAAAGAAGGAGGTGGGGTTTGATAATCTGAAAGCTAACAGGACAAATTTTTTTATTTCCTCAGAGGAGAAAAAAACGAACACAGGCCAACTAAATTAAACCAAAATATTAGAGAACTACATAAATATAATCACAAATGTGAATGAGTCACGTATAAATAAAAATACACACACACAAAACCTATGATTTTTCCACAATATATAATTACACACTTAAAAAGAAAACTGGCTTTCAAAGAGTTATAGCAAAATTTAGAATTTAAATACCACTCCAGACATTATGGCAGTTAAGAAAGAATATCCTTACATTTATCTCAAAGAGCATCTTCCATCCTATTAAGAGCTTTACTAAGAAAAGCTATTTCTACAGTTTCTATTTGAAAGCTTTCTGAAGTTTAAATTACATCAACTAGTTCACTAAAAACTACTTAAAGGTTATTTTAGAGTAAAAAAAACTAAAACTTTACATTATTTCTATTATCCTTACAATTTTCTATACCAGCCTACACAAACCCTTACATAGCTACAGAACCAAAGATGCTTAAACATACATTCTATGGAATAAGAAGCTACTATAGTTGTCTGTTCCCCTAATGACTTATCTACTTTCATATACTAGGAATAGATACTAGTATAACATTAATTAATATTTAGGACAATGTTGGACACTTAATAAACATCTGTTATATAAATAAACATTACCAACCTAACATAGGTCTTATACATATATATATTTCTTAAAATAAAAATCCTACTTCCTAGGGTAGGCTTTTAAACAAGAACTGAAAAGAAACTGCATAGATCTAGAGAAACTAAAAAACAAACAAACCACAAATCACTGAATTACTCAAGTACATCCTATTAGTCCTGTTTGAGTCTTTGATGGTTTCTTACTGCTCATGTACGAAGTCCTCAACCAGCAATTTAGAGCCGTTCGGGACATAGCCTTGTCCTGATCTCTCCCACTGCTGTCTATTGAAATTTGTCTCTCTGGTTGGAAAGCCCAGTCCTCCCTTAGACTTTGGCCCAGGCTAGCTGCCTTCCAATGACAGCTGTGGAAATGCCTCCAAGTCCAGCCCATACAGCTCCTTTTCATCAATACAACCCTACGGCCCTTACAGTTCAGTACCATACTACTCAAATTTAGGATATACATGTATAATTAATAAAATTATTACACCATAACTATGTAAATACATGAATAAATATAATGTTAGGCAAACTATAATCAGTTAGAAAATTTATTCATGAGCTGTGATTTAGCTCAAGTGAAGAACTCAATTTCTCTTTCTAGGAAGCTTGAAACAGAAAGTGTGGTATGGAAGAAAGAGAGGGGCTCCTACAAACCTAGATTTGAATCCAGGTTCTTTCTAACCGCTACCTTGAGCATGTCACTGACCCTCACTAAGTCTCAGCTTCCTCACCTGTCGGTATTATTCTTGTACCTCACAGATTTATTATACTTGTTATTATGTTAAAATCTGTTTATTGGTTTATATATGTATCTTCCAAGGCAGCTGTGAGCTATCTGAGGGTAGAGAAATGCATTTGCTTTCACCTTTCTATATCCAAGCCTAAGACACACAGAAAACATTGAACAAATTTACAAATTTAATTTTTCTCTACTCATTTCGTTGTTTGTTGTTCTTCCCAAATAGGTTATAAAGTCTTCAAGGGCAAAGACCATGTGGAACATCGTCCTGTATCACCCACAACAGCTAAAACAGTTGGAAATATCTAACAGATACTAGACATTTCATTGACTTGAACCTCAGGTCAAAGTAAACAGTGACAGGGACGATCAAAACAGTGTACAGCTCTTAGTGGACTTTGATATTATTGTGCTTAAGAGAGACAGGATTTCGGGGACAGGGGTCGGATTATGCAACGGTCTTCTCCTCAAAACACAGATGCTTCTAAGAATTAGCAAGACAAATTTAAAGAAAAAACATAATAGAGTTACTATGGTCAAAAGATGGGGACTCTTAAGAATTTCTATAATGTAATTTGCTTTAATATCTGGAGCCAACAGATAATTTTTAAAACTGCTTTTTGGAAAATAAGAAAAGACAGACAGTATATTCTAGGATTTTCTCTAAATGCTGTACAGCAGAGAAGGCATTCCATTATAAATTTATTGCCAACTATTTTTGTGACAAATATAACTCACATGGATTAAAGGTTGAGGAGTCAGTGAAAAGGTGGTTTTATATTTATCCACTCATTCATTCATTAAACCAAAAATATTACTGGACACCTGCTATGCACCAGGAACCATGCCAGGTGCTGGGGCTACAATAAGACCATCACTGTTTCTGTCTTCCAGAGCCTATACTCTAGTCCTGCACTGTCTAATGCAGTAGCCACTAGCCACACACGACTACTGAGCACTTGAAATGAAGCTGGTCCAAACTGAGATATGCTTTCAATTTAAAATACTCACTGGATTTCAAGGACTTAGTACTCAAAAACAAATGCAAAATTACTAATTTTTATATTGAATATATGTTGAAATGATATTTTTGACATATTGGGTTAAACAGAAATGTTAAAAGTAACGTCACCTGTCTTTTACTTTTTAAATGTGGCTACTAGAAAATTTTAAATTTTTCAGCTCATATAATATTTCTATCAAACAGCACTGGTCTAGCTCACTTGATGGCTTCTGCAAATAATTTCATTATCTATGCAAATTAAAATGCTGGGTAAAGACCATCTGATCTATGTTTGATAAATATTAAACATTCTGTCAAGGAGTCTTCATAGCTAGGCGTAAAGAGGTAACTTTTCTTTCTTTTTACAGTAGCTACAGATTTCTTTATACATATTTATAGCCCAAGAGTAACTAACATATTAGAAAGTCAAATTTTATTTTTAATAAATCATGGGACTTTCTCAGAGCTAATGCCAAGGACATTCAGCATTACTTTTCATTATGTGAGATATAGTATAGGCTCACGAACCTTGACCAAAATGAAATTGGGCTTTAGATTCTTAAAGTAGTTCTCTGAACCTCCCCCTAAATTCTCCATGTGCAAATCCCACTTTCCTAAAAATCACTTGCTATTAATAAAATCACCCATAAAATCAGGTTACCTGATTCAGGAACTCCCACTAGAAAATGGAGAAATCAAAAATTAAAACTGAACTTGTATGCAGAGGTGAACTCTTAATATCCAGAAGGGAACATCCAGCTAAAGGGGCGAATATCTGTGATGTGAGCCATCTTCTCGTCCATGTGCTCACTGCCTCACAAATACTCACTCTTTACCCCAGGGAGTAAGCAGGAGCTTACCAGAACCAGGGAAATGGGCTTTAGTTTCTAGCCCAAAGAAAAAAGCAGCTAGCTGTCTGAGATAAGGTGACAGATGATTAGGTTGCTGTCAATGTTTTCACTATTACAAATAATATTGTAACAAAGCTTCCTTTACATATATGCATATGCAAGTGTCTGAGTACTTCTAGAAACAGAATTTCTGGGTCAAAGGAATATACACTTAAAATTTTTATAGATGCAATATTGTTAAAGAGCCATATTGCTCTCCAAAAAGACTAATTTATACCCACAGCAATGGGGCATGGAAGTGCCTATTTCTTCATGCCCTCTTCAACCTTTTCCATTTGTGCCAATCTGATGGATGCAAATTGGTGTCAGGTTAATTTGCATTTCCCTGAGTTTTACGAGTTCACATGTTTATTAGCTCATTTGTATTTCTCCTTTGGGGAATTGCCTGATCATATCCCTTGCCCACTTTTCTATCTATTGGGTTGTCTTCTCACAGATTTGTAGAAATTATTTATTATTTTTCTTTCTTCCAGCCTGCTATTTGTCTTTTAATTTTGTTTATGATATCTTTTAACATATGGAATTTTTTTGTGTAATTGAATCTTTCAATCTTTTAAGTTCCTTTGCAAAAAAAAAAAAGCTGCCTTTGCTTTACATCTTAAGTCTGCATTATAAAATTATAAAAATATTCTTATTTATTTCTAGTAATTTTATAGTTCTGATTTTTATATTCAGAACCTGAATACATCCAAAACTTATTTTTTGTGCATTGTATGAAACAGGGCTCTAATTTTTCCCTCAAAATGGAGAGGCCATTGTCCCCAAACCACTTGTGGAAAGCCATCCTTTCTACACCGAATTAAAATGTCACCTTTATCATATACTAAATTGATATGTTCTAGAGTAGAATTAGGAAAATCTCAATATCCAGGTCTAATCACCTTGGATACAAAATCTATTGCTCTTTAAGAATGCACACAAGTAATATAAAGCAACATCACAGAATATTAAATACATAAGCTCGTAAATAAAGTAGCACCTAACACATTGCTTAACAAGTCTATTACATACAAGGTGTAGCTACCTCTAGATGTGCTATCAAACATTTGTGGTGAGGCCATTTTTTTTTTATTAAGATTATGATAGTTTACAACCTTGTGAAATTTCACTTGTACATCATTGTTAGCCATGTTGTAGGTACACCACTTCACCTTTTGTGCCCTCCCCCGACCCCCCCTTTCCCCTGGTAACCACCGATCAGTTCTCTTTGTCTATATGTTAACTTCCACCTATGAGTGGAGTCATACAGAGTTCATCTTTCTCTGTCTGGCTTATTTCACTTAACATAATACCCTCAAGGTCCATCCATGTTGTTGTGAATGGGACGATTTTGTCCTTTTTTATGGCTGAGTAGTATT